AAGTATTTCCATTTTGGGTGACTTTTTACTTTCACTGCACTACATTTCAAAGTCAAATATCTTACTTTTTACTCCACTACATTATGCAAAATCTGTCGTTCCCTTTGGCTTATGTCTGTATAAAAACGTAACATGTCAAAACGAAAGAAGTGTAAAGCAAGCACACCAATCAGGGCACAGCCTGCAGTTTGAATATGATAACATAACATAAATGATAACCTAACTTTGTGTAAATAGACCACAATATAGAAATATGTACACATATGCAGTTGAAAGTTGTGTCTTTTTTCTGAATTTATACAAACACTTTTTCATTTTATAGTACATTTGTTTTTGCTAGTTTATGTTTATGAACAGAGACCTACAGATGCAGTTTAGTAAAGGAAAACTCATTTGTGAACCTGTGCTTAAAGCAAGTTTTTATTAACTTAAACTTGTAACTAAGCTGCAAATAAAACTTAAACCGAAACTTTGCTTGTTTGCAAAAAGTTATTTCATAGCCACTCGGTTCTATCTAATGGAAATTGTTTCACTTCAGTGTTTTATGCTTATGATAATTTTAATCAACATCAGCGTCAGACTAATTAATGACATTCTATTAAAAGATTGGTTTACCAAGAGTGACACTGGAGTATTTTCACCTAAAATTAGTTAATGAAGCAAGACTCTTGTTACAAAAATGGTAATAGGACATTAGTACTTTTACTTTTGATACGTACTTTTGAAGGCAAATACTTTTGTACTTTTACTCAAGTGGAGGTCTAAAGGGAGAACTTCTACTTTTACTGGAGTAATATTTTACCTTGGGTATCTCTACTTTAACTCAAGTACAAGATTTGTATACTTTGTCCACCACTGCACAATTTTCAGATTTATCTACTAAGCACAACAGACATTACAAAATATTCTCCTGTGCATTGTGTGCAATTATACATTTTTGCCAGAGAGGTCAATAAATCCCCAAAACTTAAACAGTGCAGCTTTAAGATGAAATTAATGTCCAGAATCATGCTGGCGGTGAAATCTCATGATCAAATACCTATTCATAATTACACAACAACCCTGCTGAGAAAACCAGCACAGACCAGCATGAATTCCATGCTGCTCTAGGCTGGTTTATGCTGGTCTGATGCTGGTTTAGCTGGTTACCCAGGACAGTTATGCTTGCTGACCAGCACACCAGCATCCAAAACACAACAAATGCTGCTTTAGCTGGTGAACAGCTATGCTGATCTATGCTGTTTTTTCTAGCAGGGAAGAAATAACTATAAACATTTGCCAGGTTTTTACTTCCTGTTCACAAAATACTTTCAATTGTGAATAAACCACCAGTTTACATACATAGTTTACATAGTTTATAACATTTCGATCTACTCAATCTACATTTCAGTCTCTCAATTGAAAAACAGTTCTTAATATGAAAAGTGATTTTGAACAGTACAGTATCTTTACACCAGACTCTAATCTTTTTCCTCTATATTTCAAAATTGTTACTTTTCTCACTTCTCACGATAAGCTTGTCTTCTCTAGTCCTCCCACCTTCTCCTCTGCCCCCTGGCTCAGTCACTTAGAGCTTGTTACGAAACTCCACTGGCAGCTGTGCCCTATCTAACTCCCTCCCAATTACTGCCTAAATGAACCGCGGGGCTGCTTAACTGGGTTTGCCTCATGCTATTGTTTCATTTGCAATGGTAACGAAGCCCCTTATTAAGCTTATGTGAACCCAGGGCCAAATTAATCACAGCATTTCGGCAGATGAATGGCGAAGATCTAATTGTGCTTTGTGTCAGACCACAAAAGGAAGCTTCCGCGATCTGGTTCCTCTATGGCTTTGCTGTTTCGGCTGACCTTTAAGGTGGCATGCTGCGTGCCACCCGCACAACACTATTTATTTATGATGTGCGACTCGGGCCGACCAGGGCGACGGCTTTGCCACATTTTGCCTTGTTGCCATTTGCGTAGGCATGACGGGCATCTTCTTGCGGGGAAGAAAAGAAATGTGAAAAAAAGAGGGGGAAAAAGTGGGACACTTTGATTAATGCCAGCGTCTAGAAGGGAGAGGCACAGACATGACAATAAAAAGGCCTCTCTGCGCAAGAGAGAGACAGAGATAGCACTTTGCTACAGGGTGACACACACACACACACACACACACACACACACACACATAGACACACGTAGACACACATAGACACGCTATGATTCTCATCTGAGAGAGAAAAGGAAGAGGGGGAGTGCTGTTGCTTGTTTTGTGATGGTTGTGAAGTTAGTGCACAGACAGTGAATAATTAGTCCCAGGAGAGGAATTAACAGACCATTTGAATATTTCAGGGCATGTTGAGGAAAACACCCTGTTTTCTACCCCACAGATGAAGGAAAACACTGTGTTTTCCAGCTTGGGGAACATCGTTTCCCTTACCTGCGGCAATTTAGCCTTTAGATCCACTATATTTGGCTGGCGGTCTAAGCCGAATGGTTTGTTTTACCCTGCGAACAGCTCAGGGAGTGAAGGAAATTGAATCAACAGTAAACACAGCGTCTGAGATGCTGCTGAGAATTTGAACGACAGTCGCATGCCTCTTCACAGATGGTAGATAACAAAAAAATAATTTTATCTTGGTAAGTGAAAGTATATTAATTGTAGGCAATACAGTCGTATGCAAACATTTGAACATCACCAGTTACCTAACTGACAATAAGTTAACACATCCTCTACAGGGAACAAACTTAAATATTGCATTTTTTCTGCTAATTTTAGTGTACATTTATTTTTGTTCTTTCAGAGTTTAATGTATTGGAAAAAAAGAAAACAAAATGTGCCATAATTTTTGCACAAGCCACATTTTGTGTTAATATGTTAAATGCAGCTAATAAACAAAAAATGTGCATTACGATGTGCAGAAGTGTGTTCTCTGCAGAGGATTTGTTAACTTATTTTTTCTTAAAAAATCAATAAAACATCATTTGGGGCACCAGGGGTGCCAAAACCTTTTGCATATGAGTGTATATCCAATATTTTCACAGACTCACAGTTTGATAATAAAACTATTAACAGGCATACTGTCTTTCCTTTAAGGCTGTTTTTGATAGTGAAACTCACATGAAACTAGTTGCTTGATGCAAGTTGCATGCAACTTCAGTGCTTAACTTAATTTTAGTGCTTGACAGATACATAAGACAAACCAAAAACAAAGTTGCATGCAATACATTCGATTACTCCCGCAGTTAGTATAGTTTTGCTGTATAACAACATCCGCGATGTGTATTTTACATTTGCAGCATCTTTATCATATTATCTACATATCTGTCTATAGTTCTTTACTACACATTAAGTTTGTAATCTGTTCTGTGAATGTTAATCCTTAATAAATGTTCAAATGGGTATTACGGTTATATGATACCTTGCTCAACCTGCAGTAGAGGCATTGAAAGCTCACTGAGGACCACATCTCAGTTTCCTCATCTTTAAATGTTTTATGCTCCAGATCCAGACAAAATCTACAATTACAGACCATCAAGATATTTGAAGTTTGATAATCTAATCGAAATTGATAATCTAACTGTGTAGATCACAATAAAAACTGGTTATCAAAGAATAATAATCACTGGCACTGTCAGCTGTTAGCGTTAGCTGGGTAGTTAAGCCAGCTGGTTACAGAAATGTAAGCTTTGAGAAACTCTTTTTACATGGTGATGACTCGGGTGGCTGACAAAATCAAAAGCTACCCAACTTATATTAAGTTAATCAGGAGGATCTAATTTTTAGTTGTCCAATAAACTGATGTTTTATTTTCTTGTCCAATAATCAAGTGAAATCAATCATTTGAAATTATCATGATCATGTAATATTGATGTTTTGCGTGGCGGTTTCATGAAATTGATTTTAAAAAGTTGAGAGAGTTGCAACTGAGTTGCAAGTGAGTTTCAGAAGGCTTTAAGACATTAAGTCCTCCTTGCCACTTATTTCACCATCGTGGAGAAAAAATTAGGTGAATATGAATGGTCCTCATGCAATCTGGTTTTTGAAGGAACACAGTTCGGCAAACCTGCCTAGGTTTATGTGAATGACAAGAGATGTTGACTGAGGAGTAAATCTTATAATAATCGTACAATCTTCTAATGAGAAATAATAGATATACTGCCTACATTCAATATGCTTTCACTTGGCAAGATATCATTTTCTGCAGTGTAGCTGGCAGTATCTGTGCCACTGAAAGCCTGATATAGCTGCTGACACAATCTGTGTTTTCCGTTGCACAGTCTCTGCAAAAGCTAACACTTACTTAACTCTGAATGCATAGAGGAGACTCAGCACCATAATGATTATGACAAACTAACACTTGCTAGCCCATGATAGGCCAATGATAGGAAGTGTTCTTGTCAGCTTTCTGACAATCATTTCATACACACGCGTTAAATTAGCAAAGCAATGTTGAGCATCTTTCAACACACTAAACCTACACCAACGCCTCAGCCATATGCTGCAGTATTTTTAGGCTGCACCGTGTCAAAACAAGCTGTGTTAGCAACTGCAAAATGTAACTGTTGTCAGTCGCGAGGAATTCATAATGCCCATAGTACAAGCAGAAGCTTGACATGAACAACCACATACTTAAAATCACATGCTAAGTGAGACAGTGAACATTTGTGAAGTCTGTTTCACACGTTACTGAAATTCAACAGGACACAGACAAACTAGCAGATTCTAGAATGTGAAGAGTGAAGGATTGGAAGCCAGAATCTATTGCAAATGTCCTTGCAGAAAGACATTGCTTATGCTAGCAAGTGCTATATTTATATTTATATAACAACGCTTGTAAGCTGCCATAGTCACGTCACCAGTGGAAAATTATATTGGAAAAAATAGGAACGCTTTAGCAGGGGTCCAGCATCCCTCCATGAGTGACAATCCTTGACCAACAAATCCATATTTAAACACATCTAAATGAAAGCTGCAGCAAAGAGTGTCAGAATCAAGTTCTTATTGAAGTTCTACTTACGTTGGTTGTCTTTCTTCTCAGTTGCTGTATATTGCTGCAAATGACAAAAACAAAACATTCATTACGGAGATGTAAAACTAATCAGTTGCTCTCAGAAGCCACACTGAAACTGCCTGCAGAGCTCATTCTGGCTCACTGCTCTATTAGAAGCATTAGAAATGTAGTGTTAGGTACACAATTCACTTTTCTACACTACTCACTGACATTCTACACTACTCACTGACCCTCATATTGTATATTTCATTATAACCAGCACAGGAAGATTGCCAGCTTAAGACTAATAGAAAAATAAATAAAGAGACTAAAATGATGCCTACAAAGAATACAATGCTAATGCTGTACATAAGGGTTCCTAGCAACTGACTTTAACAAAATAAAGAACTATGCTTAATATAAACATAAGTGAAAGATCCAGTATATACATTATGGATAAAAAGAAAGAAAGAACTTGTATATATAGGTCTGATTTCCACAGTTGCCTTCACAATCACATGTTTACAAACAGAATGCAACAAACAACATAAATTAGGTGTATTTTGATCTGTTTGGTTGAGGCAAATAAATGGAAACAAAAGAAAGCAGAAAACACATTTATTGAGACATATCATAGGCCTTATGAAACCCATAAAAGTTCTAACTTCTGACTGGGTGCTATAACATTTAGAGGGCAGTGCATGCCTGGCACTAGAACAAAATCCTGAGTTGGGCATCCCAAAACCATGGAGGGGCCATGGGTGAGGGGTGAGTTGTAGGGCAGCTGGTACAGTGTATTCATATGACAAAAAAAAAGCAACAAGCCAAAGAAATACAGGCGATAAATGTACAGCAGATCTACAGTTACACATTACACATTCAGGAGAGAAGCAGTGCATCGCTATAATGCAGCCTATACAAAATAATGCATTTACACTCTCCCATGTCAATCGATAGCCTTTTATATCAGAAGCAAGTAGAGGCAGTACACACAATGTTTAGTTATACTAAAAGATAGTGGGCTTAAATGAATGATGTTGGGCCTGGGGCAGCAGTGAATAACGTTTGTTTATTTGAGCTTGAGTGTCTTCTGTTGACAGCTAGGCAGCAAGACAGCTAATCAGCCAAACAGTTTAGTCACTTTAGGCCTGTGCATTAATACAACCTTATTTCCAAAAAATGCTGTTTTTTGGGAATGGGGTTGTAGTTGCATCCAATGAGCAAAAGAAGCAATGGGCAACACATGGGTAAGATTTACATCAACATCCATGAACCCAACTACAATGCTTTTCATTATTTTTACTCTAAATGTATTGGTTCAATGGCTTTACTTTGAGCAGAAAGGCTCTAGAGAATGTAGCCCCCCTATTACTCCAGCCCCCAGAAACCCAGCAGATTGTGCTGAAAAATATTCCATCACAATGGCAATCACAAACAAGTTACAATGGACAAAATACACCAGTGAAACACCAGTGTCGCATTTAAATAAAGCAAAAAAACATGAACAGCTTGTTTTTTTATTCAGGTAAAAAAAATATATACATGTACTTTTGAAGATAATGACCTAACATCCATTCAGCTATTTGTTACTATGCAGTTTATAGAAATTATTGCAATAACGATAACACTGTCCTGTTGCCCAGCCCTAGAGATGGATACCTTTCCAACCTATGAGACTCACTTATGGAAGGCATAAAGCATATGTCCATTCTTTTTCACTGCCAGTTGAAAAAGCTTGCTCATACTCTTGAGGAATTGTGAGGAACAATGAGCATCTTAAGAGTGTGGTCGAGCGTTTCAGTGATTACAGAGACACCGGCCAAGTCAAATCTTCCGTTCTACTGCCATCTGTTCGTCTTAATTGCGGACGTGTGTCCCATTGCTACCAAGGAGCAGAGTTGAAAGGAGCGGAGTGCGTGATTTTTTTTGCTGAGATGAGGGGAAGAGTGCTGTTGCACTCATCAGTTAAGGAGGAAATGAGAGCAGGGCACATAGTTATTTGTCCGTTATTAGGTCTAAACGAGCTCCAAAGCGGAACAGCACTGATGAAGTGGTGTCACACAAACTGGATCTCATTAAACTAGGTATAATACACAGGGCACAACAGCAAGACACTAGTATCAAGAATAGTATTCTCTGGCACCTTTGATACTTTACTCTTTTAAATACTGCCAATGAGCTTTAGTGGGCAGCATTAATCAAGAAAACCTGTCTCATGAACAGGACTTCTTGCTTAGCCAACTAACTTCATAAACTTACTTTGACCTAACACTCGATTTTCTCTGTTATGAATGTGGGCTTCTTTTTACCAGGGTTACACCACCATGACGACTTACTCCACATATCAGATGTCCAATGCTCTAGCGCAAATGTCCTTATTTCTCTTCCTTAGTAACAGTTTCTTGTCAGCTACACATCCTTTTAAACCCATAGTGTTGAGTTGTCTTCTCACAGTGGAAAGATGGACAGAAACACTTGTGAATTTTTTCAGATCTGAGTGTGAGAGTGGAGCTTGAATTTCTCCTATCTCTCAAAGATCAAAGTTTTAAGTACTCTTTATCTGATGGTGACAGTTTTGTTAGTCTGCAGAGTCTTGCACAGTTGTCAGAAGTCGAATTTCTTGAAATCTTTCAATAGTTTTTTGAATGCCAGTTTTAGAAACTCCTGTTTTCTCCCAACTTCTTTCCCTTTGTTTTTCCCCTTCCTTATGCAAGTGGATTATCTTATATCTAATCTCATCAGAAGTATCTCCTTTAGTCATTTTAGTAAACAAAACCTAAAACAAGCTAAACATGGTTGCATTTGTTAGGTTTTGCTAAGCTGAAACTTCGTGAGACAGACCTCAGGAATTTAACACAGACTGTCAGTTAGGAAGGCTTCATTCAAAACTAGCAGACTGATCTGAATTGATACCGAATTGAGGTTGTCTTTGGAGCCAAACACAAAATCCATTTCTCAAGAGAAACAAACTCAACGTGTGACCTGGTTTGTTGGAGAGCCCTATAGTTGTGCCTCTAACCACCTAGCAGCTCTTTTCCAGCTTTGTGTGAATTGGACCTTTTAAGCTACTTCACTTAGGCATACCTCATCCTGCACTTAGTCTTTACCAGGGAAGTAATGATTGGCTGGACAGGGCCTAAAGTGCTGCTATGGCCAGCAGCACCCACTGTGGTGCCACACATTAAAAACTTTCCTGAGCCTCTGCTAGAAAGATGTCAGTTATCTGAGTCATTTGGCAACTGATTATAATGAGTAAGAAGAGAAAATACTCCTTAACTGAAAAATCATTACATGCTTACCGTGGCTTATTGAACAAAGACAGCAAGCATACAGCAGACGTCATCTGGCGTTGCCTACGGGACTTACTGAAAAGACCAGTTCATTGTTCACTGCTGTTAGACGATCATTGTCAGTCATCATTAACTGTAGAGAGTCGTTCATTGTAAAAATCTGAGCTGATAACTCATTGTCACCAATTACATTATGGTAATTGCGCAGACTGGCATTTGTCAAAGTACCATAACATGAGCAATGATATGTAACCATTTATCTTATAAAAAAAATGTTCACTTGTCTCAAATTTGCTTCTTTTTCAAGCAGCTTGTTCGCTTTGTTCTGAAGAATTACGTTCAGAGTACTATAGACCTTCTCTGTGGTCAGTATTAATGTTTCATATATTCCAAATACATTTTGTCCTACATACACAAAATGTGACCGAATTCTATGAATTACAAGGTCATTAAATCTTCAAAATATGAATATCGCTACATACAGTACTGTGCAAAAGTCAGAGACAGCTCCTCATTTATTTAATTTTCTGTCAAAATGGCCATTAAGTGCAACTTATACATTTTTCAGGAAATATTTCTGAGGAGATTAGATGTATAAGATAATCTAATTTCATAAATAATTTCATAAATTCATAAAAAAAAATTAAATTGATATTAAGATTCCCATTCATACCATTAGGGAACAAAGATATAAATTCACAAATCCAGAAGGCCTCCCTCTGTAACAATCTTTTAACCTGATCTCCCCTCTTCTTTGCCACGAAACCCCCTCAATGCCCAGGAAGCATATAGCTAAAAGAGAAAATTTAGGTGATTCAAAATGACAAAAAATAGGGCATGGTAATCCTGTCTGAACTCATATGCACTCATATGTTCAAAGAGCTTGCCTAGTTTCACCAACATACAATAAAAGACAAGGGCACAATGACATAAACTGCATGTGGGGATCCACAAGTTATGAATTATCTAATGAATCATCTATCTAATCTATCTAAAATATGTTTTCAGAGTTTGGGGTGTAAAAAAATTTTCATTTCACAAACTGAGGACAAGAGGTAAAATTTCGACAAGGAAACAGGGCTTCAGAGAGAGTTGCAGAAGCAATGGGAACATATGTATCCACCTTCTGGAGTCCTAGATGGTGTGAGGAACGTATCTCCTTTAGAGCAGAATTAAGCCATTTCCCACAGATACCCACAGACACAAAAGTTCTTGTACAGAATCTGGGCTCTAGCCTCAAAATCAGCTGTATCCAAACAAATATGTCAGAGTCTTGTAAACTGACTATAGGGCAGGCTGCGTTTTAGTGGAACTGGATGGGCACTTTTAGCATGAAGGAGACTGGTTTTCTGTCCTTTCTATATAGGGAAGAGAACTTTTCCATCACTGATTTTAACTCATGTACAAAATATCTACATACTTTGTGTCTACATGATGACCAACCTTAATGGAAGGTCCACATATATTGTTCCTCTTTGCATGATTTTATTGTTCCTCTTTGCATAATCAGGGGCCACATTGGCTGCCATAGCAGTGCCTTCAACAGATTCTCAAACAGAAAATAATTTTTTGTAAAGATCAGTTCTGCCATATCAGTAATCATTTGAGTAGGAAGACCAATGTCATCATTACACTGACTAAGAAAATGTTTAAGGCCAAAAGACCCTCTTTATGAGTATATGAAGAGGTATAAGTATAAAGTATTTAAAGAAGCAACATCCATACTAGCCAAGGTGGCATTTGGCTCAATCTTATCTACCGAGGATAGGCA